GCCTTATGAACACTGCCCTTCAGTAAAGTGTTACTGAATTACCTAAAGCTATTAAAGAATCAATTCTTTCAGCAATTCACCAGAACAAGTCCTGACAGATGGAATGGCAGAGGTGCACCATTAATTATTTACCAGGGTCGTCAAACAAAAGCCAGTCTCCTCTGCTCTGAATCTGCGACCTTTATATTCATGTTAATTAGATACATTTGAGCTTGTCATAGAAAACTCTTCTCCTGGATGAACTGTGGAGGGTCCTGGGGCCTTAAGCTGTGCACTACTGTTACATACACTGATGATCTGTTTCTCCTTTTCTCCGTCTCTCTCTTTCACCACATACTGCATCCTTTTACCTTCTCGTACTCCATTATTACTCCTGATTGATGCCCGTCCATCAGTCGCGCTTTGAGGCAGCTCACTTGCACGTTCATTTCTTTTTATCCCAGGCTAACACTGTGTTATTATTGCTTAAATCTGCTTTTCTTCTCATTAAATTGACCATATTTATCACTGCCTGACCCTAATATTTTTACTGGCAAATGCATGGATTGCTCATTTTCAAATGAATGTATGGGAGTCTGAAGAAAAAAAAATCTTTACATTTTTTGCCTTTTTTTTTTAGAGAAGAGAGGAAAATGTTACTTTTTTCCAGTTCCAGGTTCCGTTTCTTAAAGGTGAAGGAGCTGATGAGCTTTATATGTTGGAAACTTTGCCATGATTTTATTTTGTCTTGTACATTTCGCTGCTGTCGGATCAAAACCTCATATCTCCAAAATGATAACTTCACAGGAGAAGGAAAATCCTACTTTACTTTTAATGTAAGTCAATGGAACCAGACTTTTTTCCAAGTCATTTTGGGCCGTTTCCTTTGGTCCAGTCATCATGAAATTTACGCACAGGGCAACAGGCATTTTCAAAATACGAAAAAAAAAAAGACAAAAACTGAAAAACGACAAAAATGGAGATAAAAGGTTTTGTTCAGACAGCAGCGATTTATTTATTATTGTGTGGTTATTTAGGGATTTATGAAGCAAGATGGACACATTAACAACGCCATGGAGGGCTAAAGCACAGCACTGTTTTTCTGCTCCAGCTCAGCTGTGAAAGGCTTTGGCCTTCTAACACCAGGAGTGAATAACTGGTTTGTTTTCTTTTGTTTGTCTTGTAAGTGAAACCATAACCATTAAATTGACTTTTATAATGGTTTAAAAGGAAAAGTTTTTCTTCCCCATTCTGGTTTAGTTAATTCCCTCATTATTTATGAGTTACATTAAATAATTTAGTTCATTAGCTCATTATAGAGGACTCAGGCTGCCACAATACATTTGAAAATGCAACTGGAAATGGAAAAAACAACTGGGATATATTACACTCGTCTGTTGTCTGCCTTCTCCATTTCCAGTTGTATTATCACTTTATTGTGGCACCACAGATCCTCCATGTATTAAAAGGTATTTTCCTCAGACTTGCAGTGTCAGTTTTCATTAAATCTCACAATAATTCCACACTAAACCTAAAAAAGGCTGGCTTAGGAACAAACATGACATACACAAAAAACAGATCTGGAGTTTGAAGAAGCACAGCATGAATTTAATGATGAGTGTCAGCAGGTTTTGTGTCAGTAAATGGCATGAGAACTCCAGCCAGGTCCAGATCCGGGGAGATGCCATTAAGCGCCTCTAAGAGAGAATCAGGCACATCAGTCACAGCATTTGGGTGTGGCATGATCTCTTTTAGCCTGTTCTCCTCACTGGAGTCTGTGCACTGCCTTCTCCGAGGAGGTTCCTGTACATTGTTCTCCATCCCTAAAACATCCTCTTCATCTGACTTCTTGTCCATGCAAATTGCAGGGAAATATGGAAATATGAGTGAAGAACAACTATAAAATTAAACTACATTATATGTATGTACACATAATGCAGGAAGGCAGGATACAACATGGATAGGTTGCCAGTCTATCGCAGGGCTATATATATATATATATTTTATTGTAATCAGCTGTACGTTCATTATAAAATAAATAAAAAATATTATTTTAGAAAATTATATACAGCCTAAAATATTAATTACATTATCATCTTAGTCCAATTTTGCTTTGTAACTTTTGGAAATAAGTGACAGTGAGATTATTCTTGGTCTCTTCTCTAAAACTTCAGAATCCCCACCCAAAGTCAACTGTATTTAAACCAAACAACATCCACACATTTTTAATATTAAATGAAATATAGTAATAATAACAGTCAGGTCTGCCCTCTATTGGGTGTTGGACTTTTGGAATCAATGAACATGAACAAATAACCAGTTAAGCCATCATGATTGAGAGACCAATTAGATCCTTAACTGACAGCACACAGACTTTCTTTAAACATGTAGAGAAGGACTTTTTTATTCTGATTGGTTTTGTTTATATCCAGTGATTACCCCAAACAGAGGCACTGCACTCCGCTGGTCTCGAGAACTTGAGAATTTCTGAGCCCACTTTACCCCGAGACTAAGACAAAACCAAGTCTGATGTTGAAACCAAAACAAGACCAAAACTAAGGCCCAATCCCATTTTAACCCTTGCCTTTAGCACTTATCCCTCTGTTTTGTACATTCACGTCTAGGGTTAGGGTGTCCCAACTGTTGTTGAGATAGAGGGGTAGGGTGAAGTGTTAGGGCTATATGGCCCTCCAAATGAAGGTTTTTCAGAGACTCCAAACAGAGTTATGGGGAAAAAAAAGAAATCAGCAAGATGGCTGAGCAAGAGACCAAAGAAACCCACAAATGTGAGAATTAATAAACATTGTATTATCTTAGTTTAATGTCGTTTCAATGTGTTATGGTCCTTTTCTTCATAAGTATAAAAGAAATTCGGTAATAGTATGCTAATGTCTCGGTAGCTAGCTAACTAATTTTCCAGTTCCACCTTAAATAGTCCAGCAGTTTTGACGCCTGAAGCGCCAGAATGTAACTGCTGCACCATTTAAGGTGGAATGGGAAAATTGGAACAAGAAGCTGGTCAACAGCTGACTTCAGCTTCATATCACTGAAGAATTAGCGGTGGGCGATAATAAATAACTGTCAAACCCCCTCTTTAAAAGCATATGATTCCCTAAATGTAACTAAAGCCGAGCAGTGAGGAGCTGAACTTTTCCCTTCTCTGCTATCACTGAAGACGGGCCGGGTCGCCTACAGAGCAGCGCTAGAAGCTGTTAATGAAGTAATGGTTTTAATTTGTGGGTTGCCCATTTCGATTTCGTAGATTTCAACCACTACCCCTTGTAACTCAGTTCCAAGCGGTCAGGGTGACACCCAAAAACAAGGGGTAGGGGTAAAAAGAAGAAATGGGATTGGGCCTAAGACTTAATTTACAGACCTCAAACTTTTCACATGGGATCAAACTGCAGGACTGGTGTCATCCAGACAATCTCAGAATAAGAGCACAGCCACTCAGCAAATGTGTTGAGGTTAGTTAGGAAAGGAACTGGACTGTGCACACATTATAGGAAAAGAAAAGTTTAATGTGAATTCTGAACCCTGGTTCCTCAACAGCTGTAAAGGAAAAATTCAAAAGATAAACCAAAAAAAAACAAAAAACCAAAAAAAAAAAAAAAACCACACTAACAGCAACAATAATTACAATCTTTACCAATGCATCCAATCTATAACCTGCAGGCACATGCCTTTCAATGAATTCGGAGACGCCCGGGTGAGAGGGCCATGGGGAAACTAAAACAGCATTTCCAAACTATGGATGACCTCCTTTTGAAAAGTCTCACATAAATAATCATACCAAAACTGCGGAGAAACTTGGCAGGAATCAATGTACATGTACTTCTGAGGGGAACATCTGCGCAATACTGAGATTTAACACATACTCACTGTGGACTGATGGGGACAGAGACTTGCTTTAACTTGCAGTAGGGAAGGAGCATTTGGTCAGCAATTAACAAGTGTCCACTAAATTACGCCCAAGTTTAGCAAACTACAGCTCGTTTGGAACTGTTGCTGGACTGAGGCAACTGAAAAGTAAGCCAATAGGAGAACTCAGTTCTCGCACTTGTTAATTTCCTAACTGCTCTTTCTCCCCCCAATAGAGTGTCTGTCTGCCACAGTCACTGAATGAGGTGTGGGGAGGGGACACTGAGCCACTACTGTTTAACTTGTACTGTACACCACCTCTGTGACCAAAACATACATAATTTTCTCGACACAAAAGTGAGTAACGCCATATTCATCTGTCATCAATTTATAGTTTCATTTCCACTGAAAAGGGACAATTTTTTTTTTTTACAAGGTAAACACCAATGTCTGCATGGCATCTCCATGCTGCATCTGTGTGACTAAGAGGAAAGGTTGTTAACAGATTTCCAAAGTGTGCATGTTCTATTCCCACTCTCTCAATATTTAAACGCTTCTCTCAATCAAAACTAATCTAAAACAAATGGTCTCTGGGAGGAGAGTGAGGCTATGTACAGACAGACACAGATCTTCCCCTCTCCTCCTGCCTCTCCAACCCTCCCTCCATCACCTCCTTCTTCAGTTTTTAGCGGATGGCCTTGACGGGGCTCTTGAAGCTGGAGGCTGCCTGCAGCTGTAGCTGGTATGCCATAGGGTGGATCTTGAAACCATAGAGCCTGAATTACAAAGAGAGAGCAGAGTAACACAGGTAAGTAGACCGAAAAGTACAACAATGACAATAAGAGCACAAATGTGACAATTTATCAGTACATAGTTAATAATAAATAGTTAACAATAAATATCATCCTACTGTCAACCCTACTGCATGAATATTCATGAAACATCTATCACTGCTAGTCCTAAGTAGCAATTTAATTTGGTATTTTGCTTTCTTTTTATATACAGTCTTATTTTTAATTATATTTAAATTATTTTCCCCCTTTTAGTCCATTTTCTTTTCAGCCCCCTTTTTCCTTTTATTTAACAGGCATGCTCTTGCTATTTTCAGCCAAGCACTGCAGTTTACTGCGTTATTTAAATATCCTGAGAAGCACTTTTAGCTTATTTTTTTTTTTTATTTATGAAAGGTGCTATATATAAACTACCGTTAATGAATATCAGTGTATGCGTACAAACCTGGGCACAAACTGGTTTGCAGGCCTCTTTGGCCGATACTCAGGGTGCACCATGAAGAGCATATGAGGGAAGCCCGTCCCAAAGTAGGCTCCATCAGTGTGGTGGTGCCTAGACGACTTTGGCGTGTACACATCCATACATTTAGGACAGTAGAGTTTGACCATAGCCTCACCAGGGATGTCAGACAGACCTGGAGATAACGAGAGGTGTGAGAGGCATTCTCATATCTTAAATCAATAACTGCATCAGATGTAAATACAAAAAATACACCAGCTGCACTTTCCTTCAGTCAAGTGCAACATAAGAGAAAAAAAAAAGTCTATTCATGACTACTCACCAATGGGCAGCATAGGCTGGTTCTCACAGTAAACACGAGGACAATAGCCAAAGTCGCCCTGCTGGTACTTCTCCAACTAAAGCAACAAAAAGCACATAAAAATGCATATGAGCTTTATAATTGTTAAATATTTCACATATTTTGCATACTGTATATCTGCTAGACTTCAAAATCACACTGTACAAAAATGCTACTTTAAATAAAAAGAACAAAAGGAAAATGTAGAGGTACCATCTGAGCAATGCCACGGTTGGTCAGGATGTATCGCGCATGAATCAGGCCATACAGCATCTCAGCAGCCTGCTCAATCAGGTCACTCTGGTTTGGGTTGTCTTCCAGCTCCTCATCTGACAAAGAAAAAAGGCAATATGTTCAGATCATCACAACAGAACAAGAGTATTCTTAATGCAAATCACTCAGTAGAGATTCCAATCCACTCTGCTGATGTTTTCTATTTACAGCTTTAATACAATAAAGTAAGTACACAGTGAAATAAGTGTTGCAGCAACACTACAATTTACTATAGGTGAGGAGAAAGAACACTGCTGACTGGGGGACATCACTAATTTTGAATACCTCATACTTCTTTCTTTTTAAATGGTATTACACGCCCTAAGGTTCAGGCCTGAACTGAAATAAGGCCTAAGCCTGTCTCCCATCATTTCCCTTTGAATTAACTTGTCTAAAATCTTGCTAATCTGCGATACTGACCAGGTTCCAGATCCAAAATCATGTCCAGAGCTTGTCTGTAATGTGGAACCTGCTCATTGAGTCCAGTGAGGTTGAACTTATCCTGGATATAGTCCTCATCCACCTGGGCACAGCAAAAAGCACACACACTTATTCGAATCATGTTTATTACCAAATACGGCGGTTGGTTATTGATGGGTAAACAATTTAGATCAACACCACTAACCTCACAGAAGAACTCGTTCCCTCGTAGTCCACAAAACCAAGAAATCCACGAAACCTCCTCCGAACTGCTCATTTTGGGGAAACTGGGAGTAAAAAGTAGAAAGTAAGAACAGCTTAATGCCAAATTGTGTCACCTTGCCTAAATGTCCTACCATAGCACATATATACACAGTTAGAGCTCTACATAAAACTGTAGGTATGATATTTTGTTACCATAAATCACCATGTCAGAAAAGGCCACCAGCAGCAAAAATAGCTGCAGGATATTTTGATAGCCTAAATTAACTTAACAAAAAAAGCTAGCATTAAAACTACAGGTAAGACACTCTGACAGACTAAACGTTCAGCCTTATGAGTGGGTAGGTACTAATATTAAGCTGAGTCTGTCCTGAATTAACATTACAAACACAATAAAACGTTTGAAATACTAATTTACTATACTATACTAGATAATATTGCGCGCATGCTCAGTAGGACTGTTCGATGGGTAGGACGAATTGCTGGAAAACCGGCTGACTAGCATTAGCCTGTTTATGAAAGCCAAGCACCGATTAAACACATAATACGGTCAAATTAAAAGTAGTTATTGATCTAAACGGTGCTAAAAACCTAAACCACTCGGATTAACCACATAAACAGCTCAGCTTCGCGGTTAAACAGGCTACGAAGAGACGGGTTATAAATCAAGCCGGGGCAGCGAGGAAACTAGCTAAACTAGCTAAACTAGCTAACCTCTTTATTTACCACGGTTTTAAAACCGTCCGACAAACCCTGGACTACTTTAGCTTCAAATAAGCTGCGCAAGAGAGAGAACCGTTACATACCAACCCGCTGAAACGCTGCTTAACAGACCTTTTTGTGATTAAAGTCTAAAATATTTCAGCCTCTTAGCTGGAGGACTTCAACATGGCGCAGCTCAAACCAAACCAGGCCGCATTACCGGAGCAGCGAAATCGTCCATTTAACGACGAACACGCAAACATTTACACTCAGGATGAGCGTAGCGGCACAAACCAACCTGAAATACCGCAATGCTGGATTAAATAATGTGTATCTGCGCGTATATTCGAGTATAAAAGCCGTATTTGTGTATTACCTCCCGGACTCCGAGTAAAAGCTGCAGCAGAAGCGGGTCGCTGATTGGCGTGTTTCGTCTTTAGCAACGTCATGACGAACCAGGCGCTTGTGCTTATGGGAAATGTAGTTGGTTTTTTTTTGGGTTTGTCTCGGGAGGAAACGAACTCAATTCAATTCTGTTCAGTTTAATTCTGTTTATACACTGCTTGTTACAAGATACTGTAACAATGCAGCTTTCCTGAAAGCATCTATCTATCTGAACAGCATTACATTATATATGTGACGGTTGCAGTGCTTTTACAATACAAATGCCTTCAATTGAACTGAATAGGTCAGACAGTGGAAAGGACAACCACATGTATGAGGACCTTCTTGACCACTTTGGAGCCACTTCCCTGTGCCATGCCAGAGATGAATAGTCTACTATCACATGCCGTCTTGCCAACCTCTGTATGAACTCCTAATCTGTATTTACATGTAGGCTAATGCTGATTTATATTCATAGTGAACTACTTTCCCACCATGTTCTCACATTCAGCACTCCTGTAGATCTTTCATCAGCTCTCTTCTTAAAAGAACTGACTTTTTAGTCTGACTTGTAATGTCACCAGCTTATCTTGTGGATCCTTGACCTATGACCAACCCTTCAGTTTAACCTTCCTTGTAAATGTGTCCTTTTTGTGGGTCTGTCTTAACACCACTGTCATGTGTGGCCCAAAGGAGGAGAGATTCCCCTTTTTGAGTCTTCTCAGTTTTCCCTCATACTCTTTGGAAGTTTTTCCCTTTTTTTCAGTTTTGGCTTCTCTCTGCTTGCCTGAACCTGGATTTCTGGGCGGCAAGGAGGAGTAAACATCCTCATTCGATCACATTTGCTCTGAGAGATTAGAACTAGCCTCTACAGTCACTTTCCATGAATAACCTAAGCTCTGTCCTCCTGATTTTCATAGGTTTAGAACTGCAGTATTGCATCCCTATGAATTTAACACAATCCAAAACAATTAGTCAAGCCACTTCAAAATGTTCCAGGCCTGTGAGAGGTTTGTGGTTTCACTGGAGGGAATTAAGACCAATCCTGGGCCTACACAACATACTGAAGATTCTCCATCGAAAGGCTTTAATCCCTGACTGGGAAATGGACCTTCAATGCACTCCATCTGGTTGAGACCCAACTTCTCATCATTTAAACAGAAAAAAGGATGACACACAATGTCCATTAAAACAAAAGATTTTTATTTAACTCTTCTCTCTGTATACTTTATTATAATAAGACACTTCTCTGCTTGTACATTGCTCCCTTGAACTTAAAAATGGCAACATTTGTTTGTGGGAATGTAAGTTGGGGTAGACAAACTTAGATACATACCAATATACATACATGTGTGTATATCAAGGCTCCAATAATAAACCATAAATGCTATAACAGCTGTAACCACTTCAGGTACCTTGGTAAAAGTTGAAAGTATAGTACAATCTTTTGAGTATTCCAGGAATACACTTTAATGCTTATTTATTTACTCATTAAACATGGGTACATACAATATGACCACATCAATAGATAGCTAAGAGTTAAGGAGGGATGAGGGATCGCACTGAGAGCCTAGGGGAGTATATGGCTACCGATGGATAGGCTCACAGAGCTGCAGCCGAGGATGTGTTCATGCTTGGTAAAAATGTCAGTGGAAGGGAGGGGAGCGGTGGGGTAAGAAAAAGAAAAGTAATATATCTACTGCATTTCTTTTCCTTACTATAAGGATGGGGGGAGAGTGTGTAATGATTCTCACTGCAAGTATTTCATTTGGATAAACATACACACACTTGAATGCATATCCGTGAATGTATATAAGGAACACGGTAAAAACATCCTAATATTGTCCACAAAAGTCAAACAGGGCAATTGTTTATGTGTTCAACACCCCCCCCTCCCCACAAAATAACCTTACACATACAGTAGAGAGAATTCACACATACTTTTCAAATGCCCTACTCACTCATACACAATTCATTCAGCCCTACTCAACATCCCAAAGCTATTGTCCAGAAAAAAAAGGCATTCCCAGAAAACAAACCCCAACTTACAGCAGTAAAAAAATACAGATGCTGGTCAGAAAACAGAAGGGAACCTTTTTTAATTCAGGTGTTGTTCATTTAAAATGGATTTATTTATTTATTTATTTTTTATTTGGACCTACACCTTTGCCAGTAGACAGTCCGTTTGAGTGGGTACATGTGACTCTTGACTTCCTAGGTGTACTGCACATCTGGAATCGATGACTTTTTATTTTTTTTTTGTAACACTAACCAAAAAGGGCGAGTAACTCCTTGGCAAAGACTTTTCAATGAGACAACCTGTGAAATGTCAAATCAGTCCTACTTTGTTGAGATCAACATCGACCAACGTGAACTAAACTGTAGGTTTAGTCTGCTTTCCGAAGTAAAGACGTAACGGAAACTAAACGGAAGATGATTAAACAGAACACTTCTCTATATTTTCTAGAACTGGTGAGTAAATGTACCAATAGCACAATATTTACTTCCCATGTTGATTAAAACAGAACTGCAGTATGACACCTAATAAACAAATGGACAAAACGCTAGGCACACACTGGGGGTTGGTGGGTGGGGGCGGGGGCGTGACATTCTAGGAGTGTCTGAGTTTGGTTGCATACTAAAGAAAGCAAATCTGGGTGGTGCCTTCAAATTAGGAATACTTTAAGTTTCTAAATGAGAAGGCTAGTCTTTATTTGCTTTTAGGAGTTTGAAAATAATCAATTTTAAAATTAAAGAAGTGTCAGGGGAACAAAAAAAAGAGGTGGGGAACGTTTTAAAGCCCTGATCTTAGGATCAGGACACTCAGAGTTGTCTTTGTTGGAAGAAGAAATCATTTGTTCTCAGAGTCTGTTTACAAATAATGAAACTAAAATATATGTAGGGGCCAAAAGAGCTAAGTGAGCTACAGGGAAACACAAAAAGCTAGAGCAGAGAAGACCAACAATCTTGGATAACAAAACAAAACAAAAAAAGTCACACTAGTTCTGAACAAGCAGCTACAACAGTGATATCAGAAACAGTAAATGTGAACATTAGTATTTCATGGGTCGGGCGAGCACGAATTAGTGATGAACTCAAAAACTGAGAAATCAAGAAGGGTGTTTATAAAAAATGCATTTTAATGACCTGCTTTGCAGAGGAAAAAAAGTATTACAACCCTAACTTTTTTAAGGGAGGGAATATGAAACGTAAACCGAACAATGAGGTAAAAGGAAAGAAGTAACACAAAAGTAGGAAAAAAGCAAATCTATGGTACATCTGTTGTTATTAAAAGAGCACCTCCACACCCCGGTCCCAACCTGAATATGCAGAACTGCTTCACTGAATATACAAGCTGAACCCCCGACATTGTATAAATACACAGGGACATCATATAAACATCAGCCTTCAATGTATGCTTCAAGCCACTACTCTGTCAATTCTGCTACAAATGTATGACCGCTGCATGCCGCAGTCACATGGTTGAGTGTATGTGTCAGCTTGATGCCATATTGTGCTTGTATATGCAAACATGTATGAGTTTTATATCTGTATGTTTGTTTCAGTCAAAAGATACTTACATTTAAAATGGGTCAAGTAGATGTAATATCTAATCTGAGTAGAACTTAGGTGCTGTGGGTGCATGAAAGGAAACAAGGTGTGCATGGACACACAGGACAAGAGACAAAGCAATAAACCAAGGGAGCTAGAATGAGTGTGTACACCATCTTCACTATATCTTGTACAATAATAATAATAATAATATTAATCATAATAAGGTTATGTTAGGGGAGGAGAACTGAGAGATGAGTGGGCAGAGAAAAAGAGGGATGCTTTCGAAATGTTTCCAAATTAAAAGGGGAGGAGATTCACTTCCTGTTTTTGGGAGAGGGCCAGTTGCCACGCCTCTCGCCACGGTTGGCCCCACCATTACCACCTACACCTCCTGGCCCGCCACCACCGCCTGGCGGGCCTCTGGAGCCTCTACCTCCACCGCCACCAGCACTGACCCTTCGATTCTGCCTCTCCATTCCAGGACGCTGACTGGAGAAGCTCCTCTTGTTGGCAGCCGATTCTTTAGTAGTCATCTCTCTCTCACCACCTCCTCCTCCTCCTCCTCCTCCTCCGCCTCCTCTACCCGAAGGATGGTGGTGGTGATAGGAGGAGTAGGATTTGCCGCCTCCTCCGCCGTCTCTCTCTCGAAACTCTGTGAAGTCACTGCTTTCTGAGGCAGTCTCCCACTCCTCGTTGGCCTGGTCAGAGTTCTGGTTGGAGACATCAGGAGACTTGGCGCCGCCAGCTGGGTTGTGGTTATGGTGGTGCTGAGGGTGGGTCAGGCCAGAGTTGCCATGGTAGTGATGGTGGTGATGGTGGTGGCTGTTCAGATTCGCGCTCCCGAGGTGGCCGATGTTGTTATTGTTATTGGTGGTAGCGGCGACGCTGTGGTTTGCATTTGCAACAACACTGGCGGTAGTGGGTACACTGGGGGTGCCATCCGTTTCCTGCATGGAATTTTGGGGTGGCGAAGTGGACCGCTGCTGTTGCCCACCTACAGATTCAATGATACCACTACTTCCGTTAATACGGGCTGCATTCTCACGCTCCTGCTTCAGTCGACGGAATCTAGGAGGCTTATCCTGCTGATGCTGGGACCTTCCGTGGCGCCTGCGACGAGGGGGTCGCTCAAAACCTCTGTGCGGAAGACTCCGCCCGTCTGCGTTAGGCAGAGGGACTGGTTTGGTTGTGGGACCAGTGGAATTGGATGTGGTGTGGCCCGAGGACAGCTGAATCAGACCTCCATTTTCAGTGCCCTGGTGGGCAGTTGTGGGCACAGAAGGAACAGAGGGTACTGAAGAGTTTATGCCTTGGCTCTGAGCCTGGCCTTGCTCTGCGGTCTTCTCCTTCTTTTCCCCGTTAGGTCCACGATTCGCTTCTTTTGGTGGGGAGGGTTGCGAGGGTGTATGCTGCTTTCGGACCGATGCAGAGGATTTGACAGACAAACCTTGAGAAGAAGAACCAGACCCAGCACGGTGTCCGCCAGACATTCCTCCTCCACCGCCTGCGCTTCTGTAAACGCTTCCCCCAGCGCCACCTCCACCCCTGCCACGTCTAGAAGGCACTCCCCTAGGCGTGAATACTCTGGCTTGGGTGTTTCTAGGAGGGGCTGAGCTGGATGAATTGGTCATAGCTGGGTTCTCGCCAATTGTTCCTTTCTTTGGGTTTGCTTTGCGATCCTCCTTGTCAGAGTGAGCGAGGTCACTAGCAGCGCTCTCGCTGCCTGTTTCGGAGCCCCTCTGCCTCCTCCTTTTCGGCACCTCCTCATATTCTGATCCCTCACTTCGTGTCTCACTGTGGTTTCTGGCACGTCCAGGATTAGGCTGAGAGCCTCCCTGCCCATGTCTGCCAGACGATACTTCTCTCTTGTAATCTTGGTTGGAGGAGCCATGCTGATAGCCACTGTTGGCAGCTGACCTGTAGTCTCGACTGTTTCTACCCCCTGCTCTGCCACGTGCGCTGCCCGTGTAAGTGCCCCTGTAGCCTCTGCCCCGACCATAAAACTCTCCTCTTCCACGGTTTGCTCGGTTGCCTCGTGAAGAGCCCGCATGGCAAGCAGGACCTCCTCCACTACCACTTGTTTCATAAGAACGCTCCCTGTCCCTTCTAGACAGTGGAGGTGGACAGCCAGAGGCCTGGACAAAGTTGTCCCCTTCTTTGGGTCCTTTACTAGGTCCCCCACCTGCACCTCGATCTTTTCCACCATTTCTTGGTTTTCCAGATGGTGGGGGTTCATCTTTCCCAGAGGGTCCAGATGAGGACTGAGGACCAGAGGTTAATTCTTGCTTGACCGATGCCTGACCTGCATCTTGTTCTTTATCTTTACCAGAGCCTCCGGTGACTTTCTCTCCTCCTTCACCTTCACCGCCCTCCCTCTTCATTTCCTTCAGCACAGGCCGCTTAATAGGACCTGCCCGCTTGTTTGGGTTACCACCTCCTGACTGGACAACAGGCTTATCAATCTGATTACTGGAGTCTTCTCCTCCTGTGTGTCCAGAACCTGCCTTTCTGATATGTGCAGGTCCACCACTCACATTGCTGCTTCCCGGCCTTGGACCCCACTGTGTTTCAGTCTTTTGCTCCCGACCACGTGAATTAGCTTTGGAGTGGTGCTGCTGCACTGTATGCTGGGAGGACTGCGTGTGAGAATATGCGCCTCCCGTTTTGTCCTGTTTCCGGCCACCAACATTTCCATGTCCAGTGTCATGCTCGTGATGAGGATGTGGGTGATGTAGTGACTGCTTTCCACTGCTGTCCTCTCTTGCTGAACAGGAGGAGGAAGAGGAGGAGCAGGAGGAGGACAGGGACGGCTGGTGGAGTGGAGGTGAGGTTTCGCTCTTTTTGGGCTCTCCTCCTCTCTCCTGCTCTCTGCCATTTTCCTGTTTGTGTGGATGAAGAGAGAAATGAGAGGGATGAGAGTGATGAGCGTGATGGTGCTGCAAATGGGGGTTGTTCTCCAAGGAAGAGAGATCTGCACGACCGTTGCGGTCAAAGTGGGCATGTGGGGCCCCCCAGATTTGACTCTGCTGGCTGCCCTGTGGACCTTCATCCTGATGGCCAAAGCCACGAAGCTCTCCAGCACTGCTCCCCCTTTGCTGTGGGTGAGTGGCCATCCTGGATCCATTGTCAGCAAAGGTGCTGTAGTTTCCTCGCCCTGCTAAGAAGGGCTGGTGATGGCTGCCTCCCTGGCAACCAACTTGAGTCCCCATAGGTGCTGTATTTTGATCAGAGGATCCTGAAGGAGAATTAGGTGCCACACCGGGTGGCTGAATGGGGCCCGTACCACCTTCTCGCATGCGCACTGGAGGAGTGTCAGACCTAGAACATATGGAAAACACAAATGTGCATGATGCCGATGGACTGTTAAACATACATTCTCATTTTATGTATCACAAAGGCAGCTCCTGCACTTTCAACAGATAAACAATGCAACAATGGTTGATTTGAACAATATGTACAATACTTCACAAAATTACTTATCTTTTTACAACAAAAATAAATTATTAGCAATCATATGTTTAAATATCTACATCTATTGCTCAAGAGCAACAAGATCTTGAGAGCACACTATGTATACTATGTATAGTGCCACCAATTTGGAGCTGGAGACACTGACAAAATAACTGTTTTCAATATTCCCGTTCATTAAAACCTCTACACTTTTCATTTCAAAATACAATCACTGTTTACACATAAATTATGTACCTACTTTAAAAATACAAAGATCAAGTGGACAAACCACAAGCAAGCCTTTACCTTGGGCCTTTACCAATGTCTTCCTCCTCCAGAGTCTGTTTCTGCCTTAAGGGAGAACTCAAAGCCCGACCCTCACTAGCCCCTGGAAAAACATCTGGTCCCCAGGCCAGTTTAGGATCCATGGGGGGTGTACCACGATGAGGATGAGGAGGACCTCCATGCTGTTGCCTATCGAAGGGGTCTGAACCAGAGCCACCTGAATCAGAGCGCTCCCGACTCATCAGTCCTACAACACCAGCAAAGAAGGGAGAAAAACTGGCATTCAACTTTTTCGAAATATCTAATGTTCAAATATCTACTGTATATTTGACACTTCTGTTTGCACTAGTGTTAGGACTATAACAATGCATCCTGATATCACAATGCAAAACTGATAATGTACATTGTGGAGAACAGATATTCTACTAATTACACCAGCTGATGCAATTGCATCTTCTGCATCCTTTCTCCCTGCCTCCCAGCTCTAGAGCTGTTAGCAAACTGGTAAGATAAACTGATTAGATAACTGTTATAATTTTTCTTCACTTTAAATCATGGGCTGAGTGTATCGTATTGTATTGTTGTACCCTTAATTACTATTTATGCTTGATTTTAACGAACCAGAGGGATGCATGCTGGCAGGGTAGTAATCCATGGGAGGGGGACGACCCTGCATCATGCGAGGATCCATGTATGGCATCATCATCCAACGAGGGTCGAAATTCATGGGCAGAGGAGGAGGTCGTCCCATGGAGCCAGGTGGGTAAAGGGCAGGCTGTTTAGGGCCCGACTGTGGTGTGGCACCAGGAGAGGGGCCCTGCTGAGTCGGCTGGGACTGGAGCTGGGCTTGGGCTGCCTGGTTGTGCTGTTGCTGCTGCTGCCACTGCTGCTGCTGTTTGAGGAGCTGTTCCTGAGCACAATTTACACATTATTGGTTTACTGTTAAACAAAATCATATTCTGAGTAATACAAACTGCTGGCCAAAAAACAGAGAGCATGTGTGGTACATACTGCCTCTGCTTTAAAAGGATCCTCCAAACAAACCATACTAGGAACAGATTCTAAACATTCATGGGTTTCTGCTTGTTTTTCAAATTTCTGATTAGTAGTGAGTAGTCTACCAAACCACGCTAATGTTATCCTGTTTAGGCAAGTGAGGCAGGGATGTCTGTCACGTTTCAAATGTTCAAATGAAAACAGAAGTCCCTCAATCACCTCCCGCTGTCTAGTCTTTCCACTTAGTTTCTGTCCATGCTTCTTTTCCTCTCATACTGCCCAAGAAGCCACCCGACTTGGTTTGTACAATTCGCAGACCAGCTGGTACTGACAGTGTGAATCATATTTTCCCAAATTCCAGCAGTGTCTGACAGTTGGAGGCATGTGTATAGGGGACACACACATAAGACAGAGAAATCTGACAAAGCTAAAGTTTGCTCCTTAACACCTTGAAAAAAACCCATGCGTATTACAAATCCAAATAAAAGCTGCCATCAGCCTTGTAGAAATTCAGATGTGGACCAACACTTGATGCTTGTTTTTGCTAGACTTACAGGGCTAGTGTTGAAAGAATTACTGACAGGTATACTGACTTTGTTCAGTTTTGTTTTTACTGTTGCATAGTAAAGATATTTCAGATTTACTTTGTTATAAATCAAAGGTGAAGGCATAACAGAATAATAAGCCACTATTAACCTAAAAAAATAGGTTTGCTTAAGTATCTAACTTCACATTATTAGACAAAAAACACAAACACAACATGACGCTCGGAAAAGTCAGAAATCTGTATAATATCACAAAATACATTTTTGTCCATACTGCCAACTACTATTTCTAATAGGGATGGGCTTTAGCATCAATAAAGCGGAAACAAAGCTGCTGTCGCATATATGTATTTGTAGGATCGGTTACATAAGACTCAAGCTGTTCTCAGTGGATTGAATCACACCACTATCTCTCTAGGTTACAGCTGCAATGCAGCAGTGCTGTTGCTCAAGATTTTCTTGGTACACCAATAAAGGCCAGCTTCTGTTTCTGGGGAACATATATTCCGTTCCTATACCCACATTTGCTTTTTTCATACCTGCCATTGCATTAACAGTACACTAAAAGTCTTACTAAACAAAAGGAAATCAGTCGTAACAACCACATGGTTGAACCAGCAAAAATATAGCAATAGGTGTGTCGCACAGGTCAAGAGTTGTGACCATTTGAGACCAGGAACTAACCTGTTGTTGTCTCTGAAAGCGAGGTGGCAGAGACTTCTGGTATTTGGAAAAGCCCTGGCTAGGCATTCCACCCCCTTGCCGTCCTGCTCCTCCTGACACCGCTTCTGTCTTCACAGATTCATCTCCACTTCTGCTGCTGCGGATGTGTGCACCACTTGCTATGGGCTCCTCTTTGCTTTCCCCTTGTCCTGGGACTTCAAGAGGCTGCTGATGCTGAGGGGCGAGAGGCTGAGCAACTTGTGGGGACTCTGAATGAGGAAAAAGAAAGCAAGAAATCAACTTTAATGATGTTAAGTGCTTAAATCAGCTTTACTAATGATTGCAAGAAGAATGAATGGCTATCGTACAATTCTGTAACTCCACATCCACCAAAAAAGTGATCAATTACAAACAGGAGGTTGGGATATAACTTCACATGACAAACACTAAGCATGATGAAGACTAACCAGTGTTTGAGTCATAGCTGCTGTTGCTGCCAGCCCTTTGCCTGTTATTAGCATTAGCACTTAGCCCCAATGTAGTGACACCCGCCTGAGCGGATGCAAGAGGAGGCTCCTCTATGTCCACGCAGGGTGATGGGGGCTGACTGGCACTGGAGGAGGACACTGATGTCGGAAGGGACGGGCTGGGACTGGTTGTAGGAACGTCCCCAGCAGCACTGGGCTTGACGCTCTGCTGCTGCTGAAGTTGCTGTTGCTTCTGCTGCTGCTGTTTCTCATCCAGCCTCTTTAGCTTCTCAGCACATGCAGCACGCCTCTCTTCTTCCATCCTACGTTCTTCCTCCTCGCGACGACGTCGGGCTCGCTCCACCGCAGCAGAGATCTCTGAGGACGACTGCTTCCTCCGCTGGCGCCATGTCTCGTCCTCATCTTCACCCTGCTGCTGGGGAAGCAAGACGCTTGAGGCTGGAGGGGCAGGACCACCTGGCTGAGCCTGAGGTGGCTTTTGGGAGGTCACCTGGTTTGGGGGCCGATCCTGTTGAGAAACAGTGTGAGAGAATTACTAAGCTTGTCCACTGAAACCTTAGTTGCCTCCAACACCATGAACATGCTCTTGTTTAGGGGGTTGATGTTACAATTATGTTGTCCTTTTTGTAACATGGACCCCATCCCCATGTACCTGGCGGTAGTAGGAGTAGGGCCCCTGCCCAAGAAGCGACCCTGGTGGGGGGGAGGGCTGCTCCCGAGGGCCACCTAGTCCAGGCCTACGCCCCTGCATACAGGCACAAGCACCTGTCAGTGAGTCACCCAGGAAGTAGGGATGCACCGATCCGAAAGAATGGATCGGTATCAGCACCAGTGCTGACCTCGTTTGACGAAACAGGTATCGGCCACTTACGTTCTATATTGTTTCTTAGTCAAGGTCGTTATGAAATTGTAAAGCAGCATTACCCAGTATTTTCTATGTCTTTGTTTTTTTTAGACATTTAAAATATGATTGGTAGTCACCTTATACAGAAGAATGATGCCAAGCAATTCCACACACTAAATTATACAGATTTTAAAATCTGGAAAAATAAAAAGAGCACCGGTATCAAATTGGTACTCAATTTCAGATATCTGTTCAATTATCTGTATCAGAAGAGAAAAAGTGAGATCGGTGCATCCCGTTAAGGAAGCACAACATGTGCGCTTGAAAAGCTTACACCTGTCCTCACAGCGACTTCTAAGAAGGCAGAAGTCGCACCAGTAAACCTGTGGCTAGTCTGTGTGTGCTGAGATTTTGAGGGTCGTACCTGATAGGGTCCAGTGCTTGTCTGAGCACCCCAGCCACTTCCTCCCTCCTCGGCCCAACTTGGCTTGCTGGAGGGTGCTGGTGAGGCGTCATCGCTACTGGAAGGAGGGGTGTGCCGCATCTCCCCTCCGCTGTCAGACGTTTGAGAACGTAAACCTGTGGCAGGTCCGTCTTGGGACTTCTGCTGCTCCCTAAGAGGATGCAAGTGAGGAGGAGATACACACATAAAAATTCCAAATACGTGCGCAAACCACAAAATACAAATTTATGCAAATGCTTTTTGTGAACAGACTAGCCTAAGCAGTTGGGCACATTATTTACATGGTCTCGGTACGACTCAAATACATCAAGGCATACCGAATTCCATTCTGGCCTTCAGTCTTGTCCTCCTCCCCTTCATCATCTCCTTCATCATCGCTGAACTTCAACTTGGCGGAGTAGTCAATCTCCTCTTGTGCCCCTGAATATGAGGATGTTGGGGAAGTAAAGAGACCAACTCAGAACTGATTCAGGAGGAAAGCTTGGAGAAATACCCTGACCACAAAAAGTAATTCAAAGGGCAGTGGCTAAACATCCTCCTTACCGGCCCACCCTTCATCTCCATCATGATCTAACTCGTCCAGCTCCTTGAGGTCATCCTGTTTGAGGATGGAGGGGCGTCTGACCACCTCACCACGGGGACCAGTTGGGGGCCTCCCATCCGGTCCAGCAACGCCCTGCGAACGAGGGAATCTGAAAAAGTGGGGAGAGAAAAGAAGACTATGAGAGCTGTAAGGAAACAACAGAAACATTGTAAAGCAGAGGAGTTAATAACTGACAAAGTGAGTAATAAATAAATGAGGTGTATGGCAAAATTAAGGTATTTGGCTCACACCAACAACTGTGCGCATGTCTTACCTAGCAGCCTCATTGGGTGGTGGAAACCTGTAAGGCCCCTGTGGACCATAAGGGGGCGGGAAGGGCAGATAAGGTGGGTACATCTGGAAAGAAGACAAAAGAAGATGTAATTAATAGTTTATGCCAGCTCGTTCCTGGGCCATTAGATGGATTTGGTGGTCGAAATACAAATGTTTGCAGCCAAAGTAAAATTAAATTTAATGGAAAGATCCTGAAGTCTCAGATGACCTGTAAAAAAAAATAATAATATACATGACCCCTTAATGAATGTTATCACTGGTTCATTTGTGCCCATACAAATGAACAAATATCGCAAAATAGGCCTACACTAAACAGCGTACTTATACGTGGAAGCACACTTTAATTCCAATTGAAAAAGCATGTTTACAGTCTAAATAATGTCAGATGTAGTAGAAATACACAGTATTTCTTTGTAAAGCAGAAACAAAGCATTGTGGTGTGTGACCACACATACATTTTCAGTTGTTATCTGTTGTTGCGAGCCATTACATAAGACTTCAACAGTTTTTGTTCATCAAAATTGCTTGTACTTACAAAAGGAGGCATGATTCCTCTGTAAGCAGGGAACTGCGGGCCAACAGGAGGCTGGGGGAGAGGAAGGGTGGGGCTGCCGGCAGGAGGGTTTCTAGGCGGCCCAAGGGAGGGCGGATTCTGCTGGAGGGGAGGGGCCCCAGCAGCACCCTCCAGTGTCATTGCACCCCCAGTACCGCCCTCCACTACCCCCTCCCCAGGTATGGTGGGTGCCAATGCACGGCCCCCACCATCCCGCCAACTCGTCACATCTGGATGAGAAAGAGAGAACAAGAATAATTCAGTCAATCACTGTGTAGCCATTAAGCACTTTGTGTCAAGTGTGTACAAGAGAAAAGAGAAAATGCAAAAAAATCAAAGCACCGCTTGTGGAGGTGCACTCACTCTGGGGGCGGAGGCTTGGTCCTGGCCCATACCACTGATCTGCAGTGGCCTGTTCTTTGCCAGCTTTGTCCGGGTCTCCCGCCGCCTGCAGGGTGGGAAATTCCTCGCGAGAGAATGGCGACGGTTGGTTTGATCCCTTTCCACCTGAACAGAGCCAGGAGCAAGCAGTGATGATAGATGCCTTTATTCACGTCATCACTAAGCTGCTTTTGAACATAACTCATTGAAACTTAATGGGTTGACTGTATCAACAAGTCAGTCACAATCTAATTCCACACAAGTAAATTAGTAAATTCCTTTATTTAGTCCTTTGAAAAGAAAGAGACAATCATACTGAATTAGAGGAACCATGTCTCACCATCTCCTTGTGCTCCATGTGTAACACTGGCCTGAGCCCAGGACCTTGTCCCTGCGGCTAGAGCTGTAGTTTGGGCCTAAAAAATACAAAAGACAGCTTTTAATTTAATAACAGCAGTATTTCTGAACAATTACAGTACTGCTTGCTGTACAATTACAGTTACTGAAGTACTATTTAAAACTACAGTAATCAGCATGCATCACTTTTAATATTCAAACCTAAAACAAATACCAGTGGCCTCTGAGAGACTGTAACAGAAAACCATGCAAAACTGAAAAGGTTTAGCACCTCTTGAGCTGGAGGTGTTCTCGGCAGGCTCGGCGCAGGCGTCTGTGAAGCCGCAGGCGGCTGCGACTCCGGCTGCGGTGCTGACGATACATCGGTACTGCAAGCGAAAGACATCAGCACATCAACAGATCAGTACATCTAGAGATCAACCATGCACAGAACAAATATTTAAAATATTAGATTGACTGATAACAGATAGACATGAACATGTCAGACTTAAAGAAGAACCAATTAAATAGCAAGTCTACTACCAATCTCACTGAGCAACTGGCTCTGTTCGTAGCTGATTTCAGCTTTGTGTACTATCAAAAACGATTACACTCTTCGGTGAACCATAAAATAACCAATAAAGTAATTATGTAGATAGAAAAATAGAGAGATGTCTAGCAAAAACCAGAATTAAGGGATAATTAACAGACAATTATACCATTGCCTCTTTTCTTAAAACTGCTCAGAAACAGACGGATTGAGGGTTGTAGAGAGGCTGATGCACTACATTAACTGGATATAACTTCAGACTTCTTTGAAAGAGCTGATGAAAAGACTGCCCATGGTGGTAATGCTAAACCACGGCCAATTATGTAATACCTTAAATGCACAATAGCGGAGGTAGCTGAACTATAAGCTAAGCCTCACCTCTTTGGGTCTGCTGGATCCTGCTTGCTTGCCCATCCTGTGCCGTCTTTGGGAACGAGCGAGACGTTGGGGTCGTTGCCTTTGTTCTCCGCCTTCAGACTGGGCAGGTTGGCTGGGGGGGGCATGCGCCGTGCAGAGGCAACTTTACCAAGAGACTGCAAGCCATGACGAGGGGTAACTGCAAAGAGAGAATGAAAGAGAAGAGAGTAGGTCAACACAAAACAAGCGCAGAAACGTGACACCATCCTGAAAAAGGGAAGACCCAGAGACGGAACAAGAGAGCAAGTGGCAAAGGCATGCAAGTAAATGTCAAAATCCCTCCTTCAATTACAGATGCATGGCTGGCTGGCTGGCTTGAAGAGAAACACAAACAAGGGTATCTGCTTCAAGTTTGCAAGTGCCGAACCTGAAGTTCACAGGATCACACAGCTACTACGATTCCATCTACAACAGACTTGGCACATGAAAAATGAAAGCTATTCAGCGCTACAGCAGAATCTGTGACGTTGCATTAAGGTTATGTTTTCAGCTCACAACAGTGTTTAAAACTGACGCTTCACCCTTTATTTTTCCCAGGCCCGAGGAACGGTTCATCACACTGAGGGAGAAGAATTTGAAAATAAGGGACATTTAATGGACTGTGTCCACTAGATGAAAGCGAACCCTCACAAAAAAAACCTTCTCAATCAAGCGCAGTGCAAATACAACAAACAGAGCAACGTTTCTATCACCTGTTAGCAAAGTTTACTAAGATTGTTTTTATCCTGACCGCAAGATGTTATCATAAATACAGTGTTAGCGGTCAGTAATTTCAATAGCTGATATGGTTAAACATGTCACCATATCCTTGAGGTCCATGCATGATATTTATGTACCATATGCACCACAACAATCGTAATTCATTTTATATGACAAATGTCCAGCCTCTCTTCATCCCTTATAATTAAACTGGTAGTTTTTGTTACTGTACCTGTCAGACTGATATATACAGAAACTATCATTATTCTGAATGTGCCGTGCCTCATTCAAAAAGCTGTTCAGAATAAAACATCAATATAAGTATTATAACTTCATTAAGAATAGGCAGGGCTAATGTTTCAATATGACGACACATTAATGTATTTAGTTATAGGTACATTTTTGAGCATAAATTAGCCCCAAAAAAGATAAAACAACCCCAAAAGTTGATTATAGCAGAAATGTAAAAATAAGTTATTAAAAATATTTTTTTTTTGGTAGCCTAGAGTAGTGAGGTCCAAGGTAACAAGACAGAACTGTACATAATGTATTCTCATTTTAATTATCATTATCAGTGCTGGAACATTATACACATCAGAGAATACAGGTAAAGTAATGACAAGGGCCATCTAAAGGTGTAAGCACAGCATGTAAGGACAGGTTCTATAAAGCACTGTTTTTGTTTGGTGTTTACATGCTGCTAAGAAACCAGTCTGAACAACAATAACAATGGAAACATTAACACAGTAACACAAGGCAAATTTTCAGGTACTCCATTTTGTTCGCAGTATTTAACTGAGACACTCGTGTATCATATCGAATTATGAATTTGCAAATCATAACATTGGATCACCATCTCGATATACAACTGATTAAGCTCATCACTGCGGATATCTGGTTTCAGCACACTTTCACTTTCATTTTTCATTTTCACTGCAAAAGAAAGAAGAGCCAAGCTCTGGATGGTTGTGAATGAGGCACTGCTGTATATTTACATCAGAAGTAAGCAAACCTAGATTTCATACAAAAACAAATAGGTTAAACAGGGTTCCCTCTTTTTTGAAAAAAAATCCAGGACTTATTTTCATCACTTACGCACACAACAGATGTTGCTCATGAAAGGTCTGTAAAACGGCACTCTCCAGTGGTCAACATCCTTAACATTAAAGTCAGCAAAACACCGCACTCTCAAACCATTCCCTAACCAACCATCATCTGATCACAGGTTCTACTAAATTATAAGCGAATGTTGCATGTTTAATAAAGCTGTCATGTTCATATGCAGCCTTGTTCCACCAGGCGTTCTGACACAGCATCCACATACAACATTGGAGCAATCCTAACTACATCAGGAATTAATGCACACTCAAATTGGGCATTAGCAGCTTAAAATATGCTAAAAAATGCCATTTGCAAGTTAAATCTAGTTTCGCCAGACAATCATATATTCATGGCCCACTTCCACAAGCACAATTGGGCTGTACTGCATTCATCCTGGCCAGTTTTTTAAAGCATTTCCTCTGTTCAGATCTAAGCAGAGCCAGAGCGAGCTGTACCTACACTGGCTCCAAGTTTCAAATGGTGCCGGTCCAAGTGATATCATGCCAGTAACTTGCAAACTTGGGATTTGTACTGCTGCCAACAATGTTAAGAGACCACCATTGCTTAAAACTGACCCATGATCGATCAAACGGCTACAACAGGCCTGTTACTTCAAAGCTCAAAATGTTTCAGACTGCAGTTCAGCTTATTATCTGCAGACATGGCCTTAACACAAAAACCCTCACTAAGAGCAGCAGTGAGCCAGACAGGTAGAATTACAAGAATGTTAAGAGCTTTTAGCAGCAAGATGTTTCTTTATTCTCAGACACAGACTGCAAATGGAAACACAAACCAAGCAGAACCAGTGATTAAGAGGCCCACTCAGTTTAATCCAGACTGACTGTAAGCAGTATGAGAATAAATGTGGGAAAAAATGTAATAAAAATCTAACACTTCTTAGCTTAGAGGACACCGTAAAACAGAAAAAACTACTTTTACTCACTTTTTTGGTACATAAAAGCAGCTCTTTAACCTTGTGAGCTTTAATACTGCAAAAATTTATGTGATGAACAAATTACATCACATAAAAGTTTGATCAGAAACAGTGGCATGCTAATATTCACACGTGAAGTCAGCATGAATCAGAAAACATGTTCTCCTACCACATTTCTGAATGAGACATGGTGAGACGGAGGGTGTCAGATAGCTGAGCGTTTTGGCTCAGCTACAGGCGAGTTTGGTGGGAGGACGAGGCTGAACGATTTAGAGAAAATGTCTAACTGTGACTGTTTTAACCAATTTTGCGACCATGATTTAAACTGTGGTAATTTTCTATTAGATAAGGTCCAGTGATCACTGTAAAAAACTTGTGCTAAACCTTGTAATTTCATTGCAATTGTGGATTGTTTTCTTACTTTTCACCTAAACATTTCCCTCAAGAGATGTTCCACAGTTCACCTAAGGTAAAGGGAAAACTTAAGGCCAAAATTCACTTAAGATGTATCATGTTTTATTTAAGTGACCACAGGCCTGTTGTTTTGGCCAAGAAGAACAGAATATTGGCTTTTTCTGGCTTCAAGCTTAAACAGTGAAAACCAGTGTTCCAGACCACCAGTTAGTTGTGGTTGTGTTGTCATGTACACAGAACATGAGTGTTTGGTTGCTTGTGACCAGTCTAACCCATCTACAGCAGTTCACAAGCTCTGTGTCATCCAATTACATTTTACCACTTAAAACCTAGGACAATGTTGTTGACTGTATAGGCTATAATTTAATTTGCAGCTCTGGCCATTTGAAAAATTCTCCCTTTTACTGCAATTTCAATATAAAAATGATTCACTTTTCATCTCTAGGTGAAACAAGATATTATTGGTTAATGTTATTATTCCATGCCTGCTGGTAGACGGTGATATAATCAAAAATCAGAAGACTATTAACAGTAGGGCTATGTTCAAAACATTGATATATAACACCGACATGCTTGAGCAGATACCCGTATCAATATAGCTACGGCTGCATTGATATTTATGAATTTGCATTTAAAGGCCATGTGTATGCACAAGTGAAATGGACACTGCCTTCAAGCTGGAGAGTTTAGAACAAGGAGACATTTATAATAGGTGTGGAAAACACACTCTGATAGTTAAGATTTTGGTCTTTATTGATTTATAATTGTATATGCCTGCATTGGTCCCTTCTTCACACTGCACGTCTGAAGAAATGAAGCAGAAATGAGTGAAGTTCATTCATTAGTCTATGGTGTGCTGTATTGTGCATGAATACATTTAAGCAACCTTTATGAGCTGTTCTTAAGGCATGTATAATAAAGTTAGTTTCATTTTCAGCATTAAAGTTACACATTACTTCACGTTACAGTGGTCCCGAAATACCAAACGGATGATGCTACTGTGCTTTTTGTGATCTGTGGCACATGTCCATGAACAATTTGTTGTTTGCTGATAACTTTACAGCCAAACAATCTCTCTCAAACGCACACTCAAATGCTGACTATGGCCTGGGCTTCTGCCTTTGTGATTCAAAGTGCAGAAAGTTCACTACTCTGCCACTCTGAGCTCTGAGCTCTGAGCTCTGACCAGAATGAACCACACCTATAAGAAACTCCCTTAGGATTATTTTAAAACTGTTCACATTGTTGAGACCTAAAAACATTGATAAAAACGCCATTTATCATTCTCAAGAACCTTATTTTTTTATTCATTATTACCATAGTTCTAACATTTTTGTAAACGCTGACCAAAAAATGTTTGTTGTACATCTGGTGCATGTCATTGTATCATGCTGCTTGTATCAGGAAATGTATCGTATCATGAACCGAGCCCTGATTCAGAGGCGGATAAAAGTCATTACATTCTGATGGATGGTCAAAGACAAGAATTTTGTCTTTTAAGAGATAAGACTGGTCATCAAAACAGTAAAAAAAAATCTCAACTGAGCTTTCCCAGTTGATTTTAAATCATGTTTAAAACATTGTCCTACTGGGAGACTTTCAAAATAAGCATGGCACCACTTACCAACAGGCTTCTGTGCTTCAAGGCTCTTTCCTTTGTAAGTATCAAACAGGTTGAGAGACGCATACTTGGTTTTGCCATCCTTCCCCTTTGCTGTTTGCCCAGAGCGCTCTGACATTGCGCTGTACGCTCATTGAGTATGGTGAGCCCTGAGACTAACGGAGAAAGAAAAGAAAGGAAGCGTGAGAGACAAAGCAGGATGGGGAGAAAAAGAAAAATAGAAACACAGCACACAAAACAATAAGCTTTCTGCATAATGGTTTTGGAGCATAAAAGAACACATTAAGCTACTGGCTTAACTGATAAAGTGCCTGAAATGCAATTATCCTAGATCAAGAATCATATACAGAGAACTCCCTTATTGATAGCAGCATCTGAAAAGGCTTCCAACAGAGGCGGTCTAGGTCTAATCATAAAAACAGAATGAATAGAACACACACAGTCCAACATACTGTGGCAAGTGTAAAAACAGAACTCAGGCCACCACTGACTCACAACACACTTGGCTTCAAAATGAATGACAAGTTACCACATCCACTAGTTACTTTATTACTGTCCTATTTTTCAATCCATTTCAGCTTTCACAAAACCTTAATCATGCTACGTTCATTGTCATAACAGAACTTAGCACACCACCACCACCACAGATTCTTAATTCAGCCCGATTAGCATACAGTATTTTGAGTTACAGCTTTTTTTTTAAATCACTGAGTTGAACTCAAGGAAGATATAAAAACATAAGCAAGTCAGTTACTGTGACAAACTAATCTAAACACGCCATCGATCTGATAGCAGGCATCACTTTCAGGGCAATATCTGTGAAAAATGCCGGACAGGATACCGAGGGGGGAGGGAGGGTTATGAATGCAATTCTGAGATGTGGTAGAGTTTGAGTAATTTGAGCAGAATAGCCTTCTTTTAGATGCTCATTTTAAGTGAAGTGCTACAATCAAAAAAAAAAAGTTCATTTTAAAATTGATTTGTTTTAAAGGAAAAAAGTACTGGATCAGTACTGGATGACACTCAAGGTTATTAAAATCAGTATTAGAAAAGAAAGAGGTTCTGTGGCACCAACAAACTCAAAAGTCTAATACCTTTACATGCGTTTACATGTTTGTGTTGAAAAAACATTGCTCCGTAACTTACAGCAGAATTGGCCACGGTATATGGGACTGCAGTGTAACTACTGCATTTTTGCCCATGTGTGGGGTGCTGAAGTTAGCCACTATTTTACCCTAAAAACATTTTGAATAAATGCCAATGTTACTAACTGCATTTTTGTAAAAAAGAGTTTTGCTGTACGTGAACACGTACACTTCGGCTTCAAAAAACAGCCCCATGTTTCTAAGTTTTTAAATAAAAAAAAATAAAATTTAAAAATCAACATCCGGTTTATTCCACTGCTGTGGCCAAGAGCAAAAGTCAGAAAAATTAAAATCCTGTCAGAGCAGAACGTTGCGACGGGTTGTGGCTGAAAACAATGGAATATCTAGTGTGTAAATGCAGCATGGTCAAGATTATTTTCAGTTTCTATCTTTTTTTTTTATCAAATATTCTTCTCTCTTGCAACAAATATTAACCACATTAAGCGCATAAACAAATCTGTACACCAATATATCCCCAACATGCAAAGCATTGAGTGCAACAACGTGCCCTGTGGGTTCAAAAATCATCTCTTACTGAAACTTGTTAAGAGGATACCGCGTGTACTCTCAGGCCTAACCATGGCCAAGATTTCCAGTGTGGTCAAAGGAGAGGCAGGTGTTAAAACAGCATAGTGGTGTTGACACTTTAACTGTAAAGAAAAGTGACAATGACTTTCAGGAGGGGAAAAACCAGAAGTGGTATGAACTGCGGTTGCCATGGTGATGCATTATAAATGATGCTGCTCTGCTTTGAGAAGCTGCATCCATGGCAACAGTGGGTTGAGTGTGTTTCACCGTTCACCGATAAAATCCAGGGCCAACCGTGGTTCAGTGTGTATAACGATGTGTATACAGATATAAAGGCATCCAGTGCATCTCATGACAGCTTTACAGCTCCCCATGCCAAACCGCCTGCTTTACAACTCTTACTTCTGCATATTCACACACAGTGCAGTGTAGATATAAGCCCCCATCTCACTCTATACTCTATACTCTTCGTACTTCGGTAAACAAACAGACGCAAAGGATGCTCACATAACAGAACGTAGATACACACACAGTACGATGCATATGCATGCACTGTTGCAGTCCGTTTGAAGCACAGCAACAGTCCCTTGTATTTGGCCACATCCTACAGTGAAAACAACCATATACTACAGCTATGGCAAATATAAGATCACATGGCAAAAAGGCCATTTTGCTTAGGTGCTGAATTGTTCATAGGCTGGGCAGTCATAAAGGAGGACTCCAGTGATTTTTCAAAATTTCTGCATAATTAAAAGATGTAAACAAAGTCAGAGGGGTTTGCTGTGAAATGCTCCATCCTAGGTTCAGAGCTGTTCACAGTGGTGGTGAAGGGAACCAGATGCCTGAAGTGTTTTTGCCTCTAAAAGCTCCCTCACAGAAAGTCATTACAAGAAACGATCATGAATACTGAGCCTAATGTCCGAGACGTTGTTTTACAGTAGTTTTAAAGGGTATTTTCATCAATTTACTTAAATGTATTCACAGTGGAGGTATGCGTGTTCTAAGGCAAAATAGTTCCCAAAGAAAGCTTATTTTTTCAGACTGACCACTATTTTACCATCATGAACAATGCATATAAAACTAAGACTACACGTGTAGGGCAACTGCTGGTTTTGGATAGTAAATAAAACGGCTATATTTGCATTGTATACCATCGTGACCCCTGGTACATATCACCACCACTGTAAAGAAATCTGTCAGTAAGCTTCTCTACAAAGAAATCATTTCACATTCAAACAACTCTGAACGACTTTGTTCACATCTCAACCACTGTATTAAGCAGAAACTTTGAAGAAACGGTAGAATCCCCCTTCAAAAACAGGGTTTATACTAACCTAAAACCTCCCTAGCCCTGTAGCTATCAGACCCTGTTCTATGAAAATCAAATCAGCTATTTTCTACAGCTTTTGCTCACCACGGCTGGGAAAAAGGGGGCAAAAATACAAACTGGAAGCTGGGTGCAGGGTAGAAGGTCTAACGTATAGCTGACAAATCAAGACTAGCATTTTTCCTTCAACGTAACGTTCAGCTGCCCCACGGTGAAGCTGAGTGCACGTTAACAGCTGAGTGTTTTTGGGTGAAAACCGTGCTATGTTGTCGTTTTTTGCTGCACAGCACCGGCAGCCCGAAATCGAGATTAGAAAAATGAGGTCGTAGGATGATGGCCGGCCAGCTCGGCCAATTCTGGTTGCGCAGAGATTAGCTGGCAGACATGGGGGGCTTGTTAGCCGCGCTACACGGCCCAATGTTAGGATAGCTAGCCAGCTAGCTAACCAAGCAATACTTCAAAGGACAGAGCTACACACAACTTAACAAGGCTTTAATTACTTAACGCTGAATGTAAATACGAGGTTTAAACGCTCGAGGATGATACCAGACCCGCTAACGGTTTAAACGCGTGTTAGCGTTAGCATCGGCCTCCATATTTCAGGTTCTTGTTCGAATTTCGCCGTTCCACCTTAAACGGTGCAGCAGTTACATCCCGGGACCTCGAGCGCCAGAACGTATCGCTGCACCATTTAAGGTGGAACGGCGAAATTCGAACAAGAAGCTGGCGAATGAGAGGCTGACCAGCTTCGTATGACGGGAGGAGGAGGAGGGGGCAAACGTTTCATAATACATTCATGTTGCGCTGTACACACCCAATTACAGCTACTGTACGCGATAAACATTTTAATACGCCACAATTTCAAACTAACCCCACGCAAACGCGAACAGGGGCTATATAATAAGATAAAGTGACGCTGATCTTATTAACACGAACGAGAACAAAACAAAATGGCGTCGATTCGTTTTTAGGCCGTTAGCTTCGACTAACTAGCCTATTTATAAACACAAACACAGCGATATAGTTCAATAATACACCGCGTATCTAGTGAATAGGCTGTAATAAGGCAATGCGAGTCTTATTTTACAGGTATAAATCTGTAAAAAGTTAAACCCGAGTGAGAAAGCGTAGGTGAGCTAACGCTTGCTAACGCTGGCTGCGTCGAGTTGTGCGGGGAGTTCAGACCATCGAAGCGGATTTAAGGACGTTTTTCAACACCGAGCGGCCGAAAAAAATACCTAAGGTATTCTTTAATTTAAGTACTAAAGCGTTAAACGGCTACAGGCTTCGGTAAAACGAAGACGGAGTAACGCTAACCAGATGCTAACAGCAACAGTAGGTTAACGTTGCCGACGCTAAGCAACGACACGGAGGAGAAAAAAATACAAACGCGAATAACAATTAATACATTTACTGACCTGGTCTTGTTCCGACTCGTCTCGAGGTTGTATTGCTGTGGTATTATGATTAATAACTCAACAAGATTAGTTTACAGCCAGCTATTTTTATGTATCGGCTAAAGCTCACGTTGTTGTTGTTCAGCTAGGTTAGCTAGCTGGCAGAAAAGCAGCCCAAGTCTAAATACAAGCCAAATCCGGACAGCTTCGCCTAGCCAAATAAAACAAGGCTACCGTTGCAGATAGAGAATACTGTAGACGGATGTGTAGCTTACTTGTACTCCTTTTTCCTTTTTTCCACAAAATAAATGAAAAAAGGGAAAATAAAAATACTATATAGAAGAATGGTTTCGGTCCGTCTCTACTACTAGAGCCGTCAACGGCTACTGAGGGCTGCAGCGCAGCAAGGGGCGGGGCGAAGGATGGCGAGGCGGGGCTACATTAACATAATACGATCCGAAAATTCTCATCGGCCTATCAGACGCGGGCTTTTTGCATTTATTTAAATCGCGCCGTGCGTACGAATTACTTCTTATTTCTTACTCTTTAGTAAAGGGAATTGCTTTATTTCAGAACTCTATATAGAACCTTTTCATGCTTAATTGGTTCTTTGCATGGTGAAATGGTTCTTCACATTGATGGAGAATGTGATGTATGTGGTTCTATGTAAAACGTTTTTGAAAATGTTTCTATATAGCACGAAAAAGGTGCTGCTATTGCTGCAAACTTGACATCATAATTGTAGAAGAACCCTTTTTGGTGCGATATAGAACCATATTTTTAAAGTGTGCATGCTAAATTAACTTAACACGATCTGTTTTTCGGCCTATTTGTGCTGAATTAAATCACTAACCCTTTCTTGGAGACTGTATACAAGTGATTTTTCTTATTTTTGTACAAAAATTGCATACCTTGCAGAATCAGTGTTCTTTAAATACTGATGATATCCACTATATGCTCAGAAAAGCATATAGTGGATATCATTAAGTATCACAACAATAAAATATATCACAATAATAATAAAATGTAATCATATTGCCATTGGTTACTGGTTACTACCCATCCCTAATTTTACAATAAATTAATTTAATGTATTTCTTTTATTTTTGGACTTATGTAGGCAGGGTTGTCCATTATCCAGAGACTGATTACTAATGGGGTTCTCTGCTTAAGTTTGTATGTGGTATCAGATGGTCTTCTTGTCACTTTGATGTGCAGAAGGCCCATCTGCTCTATGGTAAGTGCACTGAGGCTTTTGAAGAATCATTAAGCCTGAAACAGTTCCTATAAGGATCAGTGTTGGACAGTGCTTCAAAAGAACAATCTGAGAGCACAGGCGGATGGTCAGCATTACGGAAGGAAATACAAAGCTCTTAGTGACTTATGTACAGATTAGCCAATGCTGCACTGGAATTTGATATGACATAGCAAACCTACAGTTAGGCTAGACAGACAAATCGCTGTGAAATAAGTAACAATATGGAAATTGGGGAAACTATACTGTACAAACAGGTCTCATTTGTAATGTTTTTTAATATAAGCATATTTTTGTCACAATTTTCCAATTTTGAGGTCCATTTGAGTAATTAACTTTTTTTATCCCAAGTGTCAATTATGCAGACCAAAAATGACATAAGTATAACTAAATAAATGAACAAATAAATAATTTAGCATATGAATAAATCAATGAATAAATACATTGTTGGTCATGGTTAAAGGGCATATTTAAATAAATAAAAGTTGATGTATGGAAATGTAGAAATAAATTCAAGACATTTATTTAAGTATGTCGTTTTTCATGACCAAAAATGTATGTATTCATTTATTTCTTTGTATATTAAATTGTTTATTTGTTCATTTATATATTTATACGTATGTCATTTTTGGTCCCCGTAGTCAATATCATGTTACCAGTCATTGGTTAGTATTAACACAATTTCAACTTCTCCAAACTGTCTTTACAGTTGGAATTCACACATTAACCCCTTGTAGTCCTACACTTTTTACACGCTAAGGCTTATAATTCAATAACTATGTAACTATGTGGAAAGCGATGTATACTGGCTGAGTTTTTTCCAAATTATAGCAGGGAGGAATGGAAGTCTGGACCTGACAGAAGGTCTTCGCCTGATTTAATGGCCAAATTATAGATTTAGCATAAAATACTTCTTGAGGTTATTAAGCAGAATTATTAATAACCAGTTTAGAAATTGGGGCTACATCAACCTGGATTAGTATTACAGAGACATATAACATTGATTTCTGTAATGCAAAAATTTTACCATAATAGTCCAGTGTCACCAAAATGTTCATCTATTAAGGGGGACAAAAAGTGCATCATCAAATATCAGTTCGAAAAATCAATAAAATCTAAACATCTGTCCAATACCGATGCTTTTTAGCAAATAACTGCCGATATCGACATGATTCCAATGTCATTGTGCATCCCTACCTCCTGTAGTGTCCTTGTCTCCAAAATGTTAGCAACAAACAAAGATTAAACTATTTATAAACGAACAATTATGTGCATAAATGTAAATCTGAAGTTTTTGTTTTTAATGGTAGTTAAAGCACACAGATGTAAGTTCATTAAATCGCTGCTTCATCTCTACTTCACTTGAATCACTGCAGGAGATTTAGTAAGTCATATTGCAAACATTCTGAATAGACATCCAGTTCACAGCAGTAGATAACTAGAGATAATGATGGCGTAATACGATGATACGTCTGTACCTGACTCTGCTCATGCAGTTTTTGTGCTGGAGTGAAAACCAAGCCTGAATTCAAGGCCAAAGCCAGATGCATCCAAATTAACCACTGCAGTACACGACTGCAGACCTGTATCAGGAAACCATCTCTGCCTCTCTGTAAGATGTAAGATTGTACTTTCATGATGGGTTTTATGAAAAACTCCTCCGATGTATTTCAACATACTGGTCACTTTATCAGAAACACCATAGAATATGGTGCAAACGTCAGGGCTCACCCTTTCATTTATATAGGTTTTTTACACAGCTATTAAGTTTTAACATTTAACAGAAAGTTACACAGAAGCCTCAACAACTAAATATAATACTAAATTTCTCTGCATTGTGTCCACACTTGACTTTTATTACAGCTTCCATTCTTTTCAGGAGACTCACTTTCAAACTTTCCAAAGTTCTTAGAAGTTAGTTGCATTTTTTTTCTTACGATCCAAATAATCCTAATTACAAATTTAGACCCATCAGTCTATTTAACATACATAACATTATTCCACATCTGAGATGTCCAGTTTCTGTGTTGTAGTGCAAATTTTCTTCTTTTTTGGCTATTTTCTTTTTCTCAGTGAGGTTTTCTTGACAGCTACACATCCTTTCAGACCCATAGCGCTGAGTTGTCTTCTCACAGTGGAAGGATGGACAGAAACACCTGAAGCAGCTTGATTTTGAAGTGCACTCAACATAGCACCAAAAAGTGTTCTTCTATAGTTACGATGTCAAGCTTGTAACAATAGAGGAACTCTTTTCAAAAAGGTTCTATATAGAACCATATACAACACACTCCATCAATCTGAAGAACATTTTCAGGATGCAAAGAACCTTTTAAGCATACAAAGTGAGTGATCATGGTTCTATATAGAACCATTGTCTTTACTAAAATACCATTGAAAAGCCTTTTTAAAGTATGCTGTTTATCTAATGGGGGCAGTTTTGGTGTCCTACCAGGTCTTGCAGGTGGTTGTCAGGAGGCAAATTTTCTCTGTATCTTTTAACCATTTTTTGAGCTCCAGTTTTTAAAATTATTTTTTTTTTCACTTATTTTGGTCTCCCTCTCCTCTTCTGTATGCAAGTAGATTATTTTACATCTAATCTCCTTAGAAATAACTCAGGAAAAATGAATAAGTTGTACTTAATGGACTAGAAATTAAATAAATGCATTATGGTCTCAGACTTCTGCACAGTGCTCTCTAGGTCCACTGTATAAGTGTACAATTAGATACTGTACCTTGAATGTTGCTGCACAGTTTATCAGCCCCCTCTTCCCATTCATCATTGGCCAGTTTGTGTGTGGCGCTGGTACATGGGACACCAGCTAGATGGAGCTACAAGGGAGAGGTTTCTAATAAAGTGGCCATGGTAAAAAGTGATCATTATAAACCATCAGAATCGTTACATAGCTGGTCACTGGCTGACCTTTGCTACCAGTTGTTCCTAAAGCAGCCCTGCTTGGCTCCTCTATAGACAACTTCGTGAAGCGCTGTACAAACAGAATAGCACCAACTTGGCCCTCTTCTGGTTTTCTGCCTCCTTCATCACCTTCACTGGTCCATGCAAAGTAACACAGACAACCTTCTCATCTTTCACTCCCTTCACAGCGTCTAACAGTGAAAGAAGCTCCTGACACATCAACTTCACTTTTATTTTACCTTCTTGATGACACTGAAATGCTGCTGTTAGTTAGCGTGTTAGATAATACAAACTTTTTTTTCTACATTTCTTCACAGCAGGTCAAACATGAGCCTGTTCATATCACAAGATGGCAGCATTGTGCTGAATCTATGTCTAAGACAGCTGGATGTGTCATTGCAAGACTCATTGCCCATTTCAATATCAGTTTTAACAGGCCCTCATTTACTAGGCCTCACTATTTCCCCCAAAGGTGTGAATAAACCATAGCAGTAAACTGCTTAAAAACACTTAGTATTTCAAAACCATGACATTCGATTTGCTGGGCTTTAAGTAAACTATTCCATCTCTTAGCCTGACTTTACACAGTGATACTTCAGTTGTATGAAAGCTACACGAAACTACATTGCACAGAGTTGCACAATATAAAGTGTCATGCAACTCACACGATACTCAGCCGCAACTGTCGCAAATGTCACAACTTCGTGGAATAAGTTTCATGAAACAACCGATCAAAATGTCAATACTGCAACAGCCAATCAAAACGCCACTTCCCTGTCCTCTCTTTAACGGACTCTAGCTTGAGCCATGACAACAACATAAGTTTCTCGAAGCCAACATTCCTGCAACCAGCTGCATTAACTAGTCAGCTAACGCTAACAGCTGTTTAAACGGCTGCTTGTGCCACCATTTATTCTTCATAGTTAGTGCTTATTAATTACGGGCCTATGTTATGTCATGTTTAGCAAAAATACTTGAATCACTAGTGAATATTCAGCTTAAATCACTCACCCTGTCCTGACTACTTACCAGTCTGGTTTTAAAGATAAGCACATCGCTGTTACTGCTACTACTCTGGTTTAAATGATATTATAATTGGCTTAGATAAAAAGAAGTGTTGTGCTGTGGTTTATATTATATTATATATATAAGTAGAACACAGGTCCCTTTAAACTGCAGGAAGATGTTTATAGAGGCAGCCTTTTTATTGTTTATTGCTCAGTCCATTTTTTATTTT